CCTCCCAGAGCCCCGGCCCGCCCCTCCTGCCGGCTCCCCCCGAGCGGGGCTCAGAGCCGGCGCAGGGCGGCGCGGACTGCTCGGCGCCCCAGTGGGCGGAGAGGGCCCTGGTTGGTCGTGGCCCGTCTGGGAGTGGCCGCCTGGGCTACCGTGGAGGCGCGGAGGGGCCTCCCCAGGAGAGAAGGAGGCCTTCCTCCCTGGGGAAGACGGAAAGCCATATCCTTAGGGCCCAGTTAAGCCAACTGCATGACACGGGGCCCGGGTCCTAGTGGATGCTAGAACGTTTGTCGAATGAATGAATGATCGAAAGGGTAGATGGAGGCCACTTATCATCTCCGTCTCCCAGACCCCACCCTTTGCCCTCCCTCAGCAGACACACATCATGATGAGGTTTTCTTTCCAGCCTCTTTGTAATGGTCACCCTGTAGATGTTGAAAGGGCTCAAACTGGGGAGCGAGATCCGACCCCACTTCCCGGCATCCTCCTTTCTCTTTTACCTCTTTTCTAATGAGGCCTCCCGCCGCCGCTGGGCTAAAGTTTAAGTGCAGCATGACTCTAGTTCACCCTGTGAATTCAGGCTCATCGTTATGATTTTAAAGACCAGTTTATTGCCAGGCCCCCAAAACTGTAGGTTAAAGCTTTACACTGAACTTTTAAGTAAAATCTGCCCCTTTTGCACAGGGATTTTTTTTAGGAAAGCAGATTATCTTCAACAGAAAATGCCAGGAATTCAGAGGCATGAGTCGGAGGCGTTGCTGGGTAGAGTTGGTCTATGAGCCCGGTGCCTGGAATCTATTATCCCATACGGTTAATTGGAAGTCTAGCTGAAATTTGGGGTTTGGCTGGAAAAGCTTGCAGACTTGATGAGGCAATTCCTTTTAGCCAAAGAAATTATGCTAGTTTAATTAACTGAAGAAAAAGCTGGATCTGCAGTCATCTTCTGCACCCACACCAGAATTCTTGCAAAACCAAGCAATATTGTGGCGGACAAACTTTAAAATCAAACTCACATTTGCTCAGAGCTTTATACACGGCTTCAGGCTTAAGTAATTCTTAAAACTCTCTCATTTGAGAATTAGATCAGTTAGTGTGATTAGGACAGCAAGATGCCAGTGTGCCATCGAATTGGAACCATTTTTTCATGTAGATCTATATGTTTCCTATTTGTTTTTACTCAGGTGAAAAATGCTGCCCAAACTGACATTGAGAAACTCGTTTTAATTGATGTTATAGTACACAGGGTTTTATATCCCTAGGAGATCAATTCTTCATTCTCAAGATATCAGACCCAGTAGCTGATGTAGTGAAAATATCTAGTAACGTGGTTCTTTTTAATGAACTATGGAACTAGAGTTCAGTTGTTAACTGATCACAGTTGACAAGTTATCTAACTACAAAAGTAACAACAAAAAAGGAACTAATTTTCAGACTGTTTTATCCATTAGGCTCTGTAGACTCAGTGCCACATCTAGCTTTTCAAGACCACTAGAAAATGTTTGGGACCTAAAACAAAAATTATTGGCTCCAAAATAAGAAAAGAAAATAGAAAAATTGGGAAAACACTTTAAATATATAGAAAATGTAACTCTTCACCTGTAATTCAACTCAACTCAGCTTTCAGAGCTACATTTAAATTGCACTTAATATGTGGTATGAGTACATTTTAATAGGTTTTGATATACCATTGGGTGGGCCCTCCAAAGTGCCTGGCGCCAGTGAGGGTTTTTAAATGGCCCAACTGGATTTGTAATGAAAGCTTTCCAAACCAAGCCACAATAAATGTTTGCTTTCAATTGGTTGGAGAGGCTTTTGGTTTAACTTTATTGTAAATGGATCAGCATCCATAAAGAAAAATGAAATTCTTTCAAAAAGAAACTCTCTAAATCCTAAATCTCATTTTCCCAATTACAAGTCAAACATGATTATACTTTGGTATAAGTAACTTACAAAACACAACTTATTCAGGAAGAATTCAGTAAATGGGAACATATGTAAAGATTCCAGCTGAAAATTCAGGCTAATCATTCAGAAATAAACTACTCTAATTATATGTAGATGCTTTGGTGTTTCATTTTTAGCTAACAGCTATGGGGTAAATCAATATTATTCTCACAGATAGCAGGTTAATCCAAGAAACAGAGAAATGGAATGATGATTTTGTGATTATACAGTAGTAACTTCAGAATTAAGGGAGAATTTCAGTTTCAGAGTTCTGAATTACCTTGCTGGTATGTTATCACAGGGAAAGTCATCCCCTGACAGTTTGGAGCCTCAGGAAGAGGCAAACTCATGTTTGAAATGAACCATGTTATTTGCAGAATTGCTGCTGTTTACCTTTTCCAGCAATAGAATCAGATTTATGTGATTTGTCCCAATGGGATTGTGCTGGGCACCCCTCCCAAAAAAATAGTAACCCAAAGCTCTCAAAAAAGGATATATTGGTATTATGATCAACCAGGTGTTCTTGAGCTCTGAAAGTCCCCAAATAGTATTGATTTACTCGAAAATGTCATCAAAAATGTTTTTGTGTTATATGCTTCAAGCTCTGCATGTTGATAATTTGTTTTTCTGCAGATAAAAAATAAAAGACTCCGTTTGGTATCTGTACTAGACCAATAATTCGTTTACAGGCTCATGAATTCACTTGTTGACTTTGCTGGAAATAGAGCTAAAATGAATTTTTTGTATAGCATTAGTGGGATCACAGCAACAGAATTGGTATCTGGGCAGCTATGACAAATTGTTAGGTAGGTGGTGGAAGAAGGTGGAGAAGGGTAAATGTCACACTCTGTTCAGGTAAGTTTATCTCTGTTATTTACTTGATCTGAGCTTGACCTGTTCTTAAGTGCCAAAGAGTGGCACGGTAGAGTTATCTTATGCAATCCTTTAAGACTGATTTGTGTCCTTGTTTGGTCATGAGCAATCACCTATTCCCTTGCAGTGTTATCTGCCAGCGTGTAAGTGGTAGTAGATGCAAGCTTGTGAAGGACAGAGAAGTGAACGGTTTTAATCCTTAGTCAAAGTCCACCTGCCATTGACACTTTAATCCATACTTTTCTGTAAGAGAAATGTAGGATCACCCTACCACCAGTTAGGAAGTATTAATAAAAAACCAATATTCTTCCTAGACCCTGTGTTTACTCTCCCTGACCTAAGAAATCATATTTAGTGAAACTTGTATGCTTATTCTTCGATGAACATTTGAGTAAGCATTGGGTATGTTTAAGTTCTGCACCATGCATTTCTGTGCATTGCTACATAAAAGAGACATAGTCCTTGCCATTGTGGGGCCTATAGTCTAGTGGAGAGACAGATATTAAACACATTCTCACAAGAATAAGTAGAGGTAAAAAACTGGTAAATGCTATCAAGGAAAAGCACATGGCGGTACAAATGACAAGTGAACTCAACTGAGGTCACAGAGGGAAGGCTTTCTAAGAATGTGATAAGTAAGCTGGAAACTAAAGAATTGTTGTCTTATCTATAATAGAATGATTATGTTTTGGGGGAGTGAAAAGTCAGTTTGTATTTACATGAGCCTAGACGTTAACTCCATTTTATATATAAATACAACACATAATATGTTTTGTACTTTTAAATATACAATGAGTTTTACAGAAAAGCAACTACAATGAAAATCAAAGGGAGATTGTACTTTTTTGTGTGAGAAACTTTACTTGTTCAACATTTCACAAATTTACATCCTTGGTTACAGCACCACTTATTTTTTACATACCATCAGTCTAAATGTGTAGCTGTCATATTCATATGCATATGAACACACTTTTTAGCCCATATTTTAATCATGTCAAATATAATTTTAAAATGTCAAGAACCTAATTGAAATCTGAAGTTGGGTTTTGTGATTTCAACCACAAATAAGCATATGTCAATATGTCTGCTCTGCCGAAAACACATGTTTTTCTTTGTGTGTGAATTCTTCAACTTATGTTGAATACAGCCTACATTTTGATCAAGCTAATGAGAAAATAATTATCGAGTTTTTTGCTTTCTTTCACTCTTTTTTCCTCCCTTTTCATTTGGGAAATTTACTTCTTTTTCTGATGGCTCTCTCAGAAAATATTTGTTGTTCTATTGATTGATTTGGTTTTAAGGACCAAGTCCTACCTGCAAATAGACCCAGAGGTATTGTGCAGGGATGTTCTAATTCTTTCTGTGCTTTTGGTTTGAGAAGAGCAGGGGGTATGGAGGGCCACGTTCATGCAGGAACAACATTTCCCTTCTATTTCCCAGAGAATGCAGAGGTTCTCCAAAGCACAAGCTTCCCTGAGGCTCAGGAGGCTTAGGAAGAATGCTGCTTCCCTCATATCCGTTCATAGTTGCTGTGATGATTCTGTTGTTCCTGGGATTTTTCACTGCAATGACTTCCCAACTTTTTTTTTGGTAGATAGAAGGTTTCGAAAAACTGTCCAAGCTCTCTGTTCCTGCTTGGAATTCACAGATTCAGGAAGTAAAGATGATTCTGTTAGTGGAAAACACCTAGGCTCTATAATGGGCCTAAATTTGAATCCCAGCTCTTACTCAAGTTAACAAACTTTAAGCCTCAGTTTCTCAACTGCAAAATGGAATAAAAATACCTGTCTTGCATGGAGTTGTGCAAGTGATGGAAGAAATGGAGCTAGACTGCCTAGTATAGTGCCCAGCATAGAGCATGCTTTCAACAGATAAAAATAATTGTTAATATCATTTTGGCTCCAAGGTCACTGTATTGGCTTAAATATTCTTGCCCCATTTGCCCCCAAAATATTTAAGACCACCAGTTCATTGAGTTAGTGTTAATAAGGTTATTGATGAATTTGTACAAACCTGTCTTGATCCTTTATAATTGACTTTATTTATCTACATCTGCCCACCGAGGTTCTTTCTACCTAGCACAATGCCTAGTAGTACTCAATAAATGTTTACTGAATCAATGAACCTGATCTTACTTTTTCCTATTCCCTTTTAGAGGCCGCAAGAAGAGAAGTATCCTGTAGGACCATGGCTGTTGGCACTGTTTGTTTTTGTTGTCTGTGGCTCAGGTATGGGTTCACTGAACTTATATCCCATGTTCTCCACTGTCCTTCAAAAAACACATGTTTTATTCACAAAGTAAATAGATGGAACACATATTGGTTTGGGATTCAAGTTAATCACCACCTTAAGCCTTAATTTTAATGGTTTTTGATTTAGTTACTGTTCCAGAATGGATAGAGACAGAATTGCTACACTATCAAATCATAATCATAAAATGATTACACAGAGCAATTACATTGGCTGTATACACTCTAGAATTCAATTAAGCCTTTCTGTGAAGATATAGCCTAAAAAGGGCATTTAGAACAGAAAGTAAAGCACTTGTCTGCCTGAGATAAATCCACATACCAGAGAGAGGGAGAGGCCTCATGCCTTATGAGAAAGTTCTACAGAGCTCCTAGATAGAACTGAGCCTTTGCCCTGAGCCTTAAGGTATGAGTCACCTGCTAATGGAAGGTGGCAAGTTCAGAGAGCTTTACTTACACACACACAAATACACACATACACACATTTACCAGGAAGACGAGCAAAAGCATCATGCAGTTATTTCTAGTTAAATGCTGCTGTTGGTAGCCCTGACATGCTTCCTGGTCCCCTGTGTTGACACTGAAATACTGGTGAGTAGAGGTCACTTCTGCCTATGGGGCATGCCTTCAGGATTTCCATCCTCCATCATCTCACTTTTGCTGAGGGCAGGGAAGGTGAGAGAAGTCCACATCTTCTGATCAGGCATAGGAAGACATCCTTCTGCCCCAGTAACAAGGGAAGCCCATGACTAAAGATGGCTCAGTTCCTTTGATCTCCAAGAGATCACTGTTCTAAGGAAACAAAAGCTCTTAGGAGGAAGGAGGGACCCAAAGAACTTAGCATTATTGTTGCTTATAGCTCAAATATTTTAAAGATGATTTGGTGTTCCAAGATAGGAACTTTCCATTCAAAGAAATGAGGCTCTACCCCATTCCCAAAGATGTGTCCTTGAAGGAACACTTTTGTCCAATATAGGAATCCTCTCATCACTATTTTTAACAGATGTTATCCAAATCTCTGTTTGAAGACTTCTGAAGATAGGAGACTCACTTCTTCAAAAAGCCTATTCAATTTCTGTATAGCTTTAATTCTATTAGAAACATCTTTTTATTTTGAACTACATTATGCTATCTTCTCAATAGTTCAGATTTGGACTCTAGAATAACACAGAATGGAGCCATTCTCTTCTGAACATCCTGAATCCTTGAATATTTTAAAGATGACTGCCTGGTGGTTCTTTCTGCAAACTAAACTTCCCTAGTTCTCTCAACCTTGCCTCATAAGATGTGGTTACTAGACCTTTCGTCTGGATCCAGTCAGTGACTCTCTTAAAGAATAGCACTTACAACTGCACAAGGTGGTCTGGAAGTGGTGTGACTGCCACACGCAGTAGGGTTGTCACTGCCGTGGATCTCACCACTCTGCCTCATTCATGTGACCTGGGCTTGCAGATACTTTTTAACAGTCACAGCACATCCTTGACTCTCATGGAGCTCATGGCCAGACAGGCCCCACCCTGCTCTTCTTCACATAAACTCCCTGCAAGCCTCAGAGATGCATCTGCACAGCCCCATACCCCAGGGTCTCCCCATCCCCATCTCACATTGTCTTTACTGTTGGCCCTCATCAGCATTTGAAATTATTTAGTTTACTTACTTATTATCCATTTCCCCCCACTAGGATATAACCTCAGGGAGGTAGGGTTTATTTTCCACTAAATTTTTAGATCTGAGCACAGTATTTAGCATGTAGTAAGTGCTTGGTATGGGTGGATGGATGGAGGGATGGATGGAAGGATGGATGGAACCAGATATTCCCATACCGTAGATATCTAGATGACTTTTTTCAAGACCTAATATAAATTTTTATTTCTCTCGGAATTTTATTGTTAGTTATCAGTTGTCTTTCTACAGTGTCCATAAAGTTTGGAAACACAGATGAACATACCTAATGAATGGCTTACTGATATTACATAATAATATATAATAAGGCCCCTGACATGACATGATATACTCTGTGTATTGTCCTTCATTAGCAATGTATAGTTCAAAGCTCTGTACAAAATTGCAATGAATACTGTTTAAGTGCATTAAGCATCACTTCCATCTGCACCTACATACTCAACTATGACACATTGCTTCAGATGATTTGTCACTGGTTTTCACCTCAAAATAAAATAAACAAAAGTATGCCTTTAGCATGCCACAGGAAAACCAAGTAAATAAATCTACATTTAAAAGTTATCTATGTTTTCAGGCTTTATGACCAGTCTGTAGATTGTTAGATTTTGAACCTTGAGCCTTTTATCTGGTTATCTTTCTTGCCCAGCTTCATAGTCTCTGAAAGTATGTTATTCCTCCAAGAGACTTAAAGAAGCCCATGGAACACAGTTAAAGATAACCTCCTTTACATTGACTTTGAACCTCTAAGCAAAACTCATTCAAACAGGCATGGCTGGAGGGTCCGTACTAAACAGTGCTGTGCTGGGCTTTGGAAACACAAACACCTTTGCGAGCTTGTGGGTGTTGGGGGCAGCAGGTAGGGAAGTTGTCAGTTGCAGTGCAGGGAAGGGACACTGATAGTGGCAGCAGAGTTCACAGAGTATTTGGTGAGAATGGATAAGGGACTTTGGAGTCATACTGGGCAAAAGAGAAAGTTTCCAATAGGAGGTGCTGTTTGAGCTGAATTTTGAGAACAAACGGCCAGACAAAGGATGTAAGGAAGGTGACCCCACATGCGGGAACACTACAGGGCCAAGGCACAGAGGCTTCAGATGGCACACTCAGCATAAGCATGGAAGGCATTCAGGATGGTGGAGTCCCAGTCGCTGGGATCTCAGAGCCCAGTGATCATGTACTGTATTGTCAAGGGTCTAAATAGATAGAGCCGATATTTGTTTCTTCTTTGGCTTTTAGATACATGCTAACAGTAGCCAGTCTACCCCCTTAGGTCGCCTATAAGGGAAAAAGCCAAGAGAGTCATTTGATCTGGCTTCTCTTTCTCAAATCCATGCTAGTTATCAAAATCCATCCCTTCTTTTTCAAAAGAAACCCTGTAAATTATATGGCCTAAAATGTTGCCAGGCTGTCGGTCAATACAGCAAGAGCTATATCTTTCAGTGTTGGGTAAATTGGAACATTCGCTGACAAGAGTCATTTGGAACTCTTTCAGTCTCCAGTAGTTTCTCAGTCACTGGCTCTCTTACCCTCTCCGTAGGTTTGTCCAGGCCCTGGTGTGTGAAACTGCAGGGTGTGGGTATGTGGACTAAAGTGGCTGAGGACACACCACTTACTGTCATACCACATCCTCCTCCTCAGCATCCAGAGTTCTTTTAACAATGCTGCCTCAAATCTATCTAAGAAGACCATCTTGCTTTTATGGAGAGGCTAGACATAAAACAGGAGTCGCGTCATCTTACTTTCCTATCCTCCGTTAACAAGCTACCATAATCCCTAAGCAATGGAGCTCATCCCTTTTTTAATCAGAACTAAAAATAATACACCACCTCCCTTTTTTTTTTTTTTTGCCAACTTTAGCATTTTTTTTTTTTGCAAGCCTCAGCCTCAGATACTGTTCTCACAGAAATGTGTCACTCTTCTCGTTTGTCCTTGATACCGTGCCCTTCCTTCTATCCTTTTCTAAACAGAACGTGTCATGAAAAACACAGTAGCTCCTCTAGATCTGTCCCTGTTGCCACTTCTCTGGGATTGGTCACGATTTGCTTCATCTTGCAGAGCCTACCATCCCTCTTGAGCGTCTCCCTTTTTAGGCCGTCAGTTCCTACCCATCTTCTCTCTACACTTAAAAGAATGTGATTTCCTCACATCTAGCCCATTTGTCAGATCCTCTGTTTAGGTAACGAGCCTTCTTATAGGTGCTAAGATAATCGAAGCCCTCTCCACTGGTCTGTCTCACTCTGTTCCAGTTCTGTCACCCTGTCCATCTGCGGGATGCACAGCAGCACCCTTCCCTGCTCTTGTCTGTTACACACCCACCAGATGCACTGGAGTTCCGTGCAGGACGTCCATACCTCCACAGACTCTCCTTCCTGTCACTTTCCGTTAGATCTGTCCCTTGAGCAAGGTCCACCCCTGTGCCAGGCTCAAGTTCCATTTCACCAAGTCCCAGTGGTACCTGGAGGTCATATTGCCTTCTTGGAGTTCACGTGGTTGTTTACTCTTGTTTTGCATATTTTTACATGGACACTAAGAAAAAAGGTGAAATCTTCTGCTATTAAAGAAGATGTTGATCATTGGTCCGAATCTCTGGAAAGTCTCACTTGCTTTCATTACCGCACTCTATTAACCCACTTTTCTAATTGATGATTGGTTGGATGAAGTGCTCTTTTTAGAAATAGTGCCAGTGTACCCAGGGTAAATAAATATTCAGGTCAGGCAAGTAGTAAGGAATGCACATTTTATATGTTTTTCTAGCTACATTCTAAGAAAGAACCAGGACTGGTAAAAAGTTGGCATTTAAGTATATGCTCACTTATAGGTCACCCTTACTCCATTTTATGTGGAAAAACAGTTTAACAAACCTGTAAAAAGTCTATAGGATCCCTTGGTTGTGGGAGCCATGTATCGGTGCCATCTCCGGACCCCTGCTTCTCAGCTTCTGGCCCGTGGCTTCCTCGTTCTCCTCACATGCCCTTCATGCCCAAGGTGCTGATAAGAGCAAGAGAAAGAAAAGGAGGGAAGAGGAACCCAGAGAGCAGTGAGGGGACAGAGTCCAGGCACCCAGAGATCTACAGCACAAACACGCACCCAGGGAATGCCACCCCTCACTGAGAAGTCACATGGGAGTGACAGACCCCCCAGGCTGCCCCAAGGCCCCCAAAATCTGAGGCCAGCCCTGCTCTCACTTAGGTTCTTGGCTGTAACTTCTAATACATTACCCTGGGGACAAGGAGTTTAGAAAGGTTGTCTAAATACACACCTCTTCAGGTAAGTCAATTTTCACTTTCTGTGATTGCAAA